TACCCAATATGAGTAAGATTCTATCCTCCTTTTGGGGTATAGTAGTTTATATAAGGAATATTCTCTTACTGGTTTAGCCACCAAAAAAACGCTACTCATATGAGCTATAGTTTAAACTCCTTAAAGGGGGGATGATATAGGGGAGTAATATAGGGCTATATAGAGGACTACTAGGTTTTTTGGGGATACTAGGAGTTTAGATTATAGTACCTATTGCATGACTGGGGGCCGCTTCTGATTCCCACGCAGGTACTTTCGGCGAACATCTACAAACTAGGTACTTGAACTTGGAGATTTTGCCCAGGATTTCCAAGACCTGATGAGTATAGCATAAACCCTGAGACCTAAACCCTGAACCCTAAACCCTGAAGCCCAAACCCTAAACCCTAAACCCTAACCCCTGAACCCTAAACCCTAAACCCAGAGGGTCCAAGTACCCAATAATTAGGTACTTGGGTTTTGGGTAATAGTAAGTTCAGTACAGTTTATGGGTAAGTATATGATCATTAGGTACTTGGACCCTTAGGGTCACCTCCTCCTCCTCCTTGCTGGAAGTCCGGCTAAACTCCTAGTATCCCCATTAATAACCCTTGCAGTAGTCCCCCTTATAATCCCCTATATAAACCCCTTTAAGGGGGCTAGGAGAATCTTATATTCCATATTTCCTACTTTGCGCAGCCCAGGATTTTCGAGTTTTCCAACATGGCCGAGACTGGGCAAGCACTGGTGGATGAGGGAAGTCCTGGACCACTCAGCATCCCTAAAATGCTGCATTTCCTAGGGTATGGGGCCTATAAGGTGGTGGTACCCAGAATCACTGGGGGCAAGGGAACTAGTCAAGGATTTCCGCAGGGGAGAAGGCCGGAACCATGCTAAAATCCAAATTCAGGACGCTCATGGCAATTTCGAGCTAGGATACTCCCCTCAACCTAAGCCCTAAAACCTAAACTCTAAACCAACCAACCAACCAACCAACCTACCTACCTACCTACCTACCTATCAACCTATAAACCTACCCCGAAGGCCTCCTGAAACTGTGTCCGTAGACAAAGTTGGGGGACCTGACCATCACACAGACCGAGGATATCCCTGCCCGAAGGCTCCAATGGAGTTCCTTCTTGTGTCTACTATATGTTCCAGTAATATTCATGTATACGCAAAAGTAAGTCTGCAGACTTCGCTGAACATAAACGCGGCAAGCTCTGATGTGGCGCTTCTGTACAAGAAGCCAATTAGCAGGACTTCTCACCCAATGGTTCTGATCCCAATCAGCACGGCTCATCAAGGACAACCTTTTGTTTCAATTATTCCCACAAGCGCCGCAAACATTTTAAAGGAAGAGGTGGGTTTTGTAATTAGGCCTTCACGCTTGCCAGTCAAAATCAACATCAGTGTGCTGATTTTTGCTCTCATGGTCAAATCTTCGCGAAGGAAGGCTACAGTGCTGAGAACCCTCCGCATAAGGAAATAAACACAAGCAACTCGACTTTGGCCTTTGCAGCTGCTCTACCTGACGTAGACCCTCAGGGTCCATACTGCGCACCCCCAAACCCTAAACCCCTAAACCCCACACGCTAAACCCAAACATCTTGGGACCCCAAAGCACCTACACCGCAACTATTGCTGGCCTCGAGTGTCGAATGTTAATATAGAGGTCTTTGGGCGCAAAGTATGATTCCTTTCCCTATAGGGACCCAAATAGCTCAAAGTAAGTGCAATGTAAAGATTTTGGGGTCCAAAGTAGGTTTTTTTTGTGGACTAAGATCCCCAGCCCCAAGCTCTAAACGATGATGCGTACATAAATCCTGTTGGGTGATGGCTGCGTCAAGGACACTGTGATGGTGTTTGTTTTCGGCGGCTTGGTGGCGTTCTTCAGGAGGGTTCAGGGTTTCTAGGGTTTATAGGTTTAGGGTTTAGGGTCATAGGGCTTATAGGATTTACAGGGTTTATAGGGTTTCGTGGGTTTAGGGTTTAGGTTCGTGTGATCTGCGTGGGTCTTGCTAGCTTGCTTAGGTTAGGGTGTAGGCTTTAGGTCCAGGCTTCCCTTGTATGACTCCGATTTTCGTGGTTGACAGTAGATCTACGTGCTCTAGAGTTCTTAGGCCAGGCATTACGGCTCTTAACTTGGTATTCCACAGATGTTTCAGGAGGTTTCAATTCGCAAGTATGCTCCAACTTTAGCGGTTGCAGCTGAATCATCCAGGCAACCTGAGACGTATGCCCAGGATTCTGGTTAACGCGTTTCATCAGGGGTCTCATACGCAATTGTTCTTCTCTGTTGCTTTTGGAGTTTTGGGGTTTAGTGGTTAGTAGTTTAGGAATTTCGGGCTAGTGGGTCAGGATCTCTGGTAGCTGCTACATCAGTTGCACTGCCTGATGTTACGTGGCTTTTTGCGGCGAAAAGCGTCACTTAGGGTCCCGGTAAGTATTTCGAGAAGCCGGGGTCTACATTTGACATCATTAGCTCCAAAGTGCTATGATCCAGATTATAGGGTTTGTGTTTTGGGGTCCAGAGTATAGGGACGACCCCAAAAAGCTACCACCCCAAAACGGGACTGCAATTTGCTAAACTGCCCTTGGTTCTCAGGAACATTAGGTCATGCAGAGGCCAGATAGTTGTTCTGCCTGACAAAAAATGAAATAGATGCATGTGGTATGGACTGTCCATTGTCCGACACTGCCGCGGAGGGTTTGGAGATTACTGGCACAAAGCTACGCCTTCATGTCTAATTTGGTATTAGACTCAAGCAAAGTCATGCGGCGGCGGGGTTGTGTTCTCCTGGCTTACATGGAAACCTGAACTACTGAGCTTTCAAAGCTGTGAAGCCTCGAAACCAAAGCCCTAAACCCTAAAACCCTAAACCCTAAACCCTGAAGCTCAGGTGTGATTCCCAAGTGGGTCCTAGACCCTCTGGGTATAGAAGCGGGATTCATTAGAGCCACTTGGCTACGGATTGGTTTCGACCCTCCTTGTCTCAACCTTCCCTGCGGGCTCAAGAACAAGTGGTCATATTAGGGTTATATTGGGGTTATGTTGGGGTTATATGAGGGTTATATTCGGGTTATATTGGGTTATATTAGGGTCATATTGGGGTCATACTGGGGTTATATTAGGGTTATATTGGGGTTATGTTGGGGTTATGTTGGGGTTATATTAGGGTATAGTCAATTTTGTGGGAATTTATTTGCCTCCCCCTAGAGTTTGCATTATCAACAGAGACACTGTTCATTCAAGTCAAGATACTTGCACCCCATGGGGTGGTCAACGTATTTGTTTGCCTGTGTCGATTCCTTGGTTGCTGTAGTAGAGAAAATGTGCCCTGCTTCAAAATCTGGTGTGCACCCTGAACATGGGCTCTAGAAGGACTAGCGTCGTTTGCAACAGTGTTTCGGAGAGGAGGCCCATGTCAGGTCCCGGGTTTTGGCCAAAGACTGAACAATGCTATTCCCCAAATCCCGGTATCTACAATATAGCATACCCTGAAACCCTTATTCGAAGTATTTGGGTCCCTTGTTTAGACGCAAGGCTGCAGGGCCGTGCCCAAAGCTGTCGCTTTTTTGAAGCAGGGAATCTCATCTTACAAAAATGTTGATGAGATTCCGTTTTCCGAAGAGTTTGTATGTTGTGGCTTCCAGGTGGTAACTGCATTTGTCCTGAACACCATCGAGTTCCATTTTCTTGGCAATTCCTGTATCTGAAAGAAAACGAATAGCAGTTGTCTTCATAGCATCAATAGCAATAGTCGCAGAAAGAGTGCTAGTAATTACGAATAGCAAGTGTAGTGGTGTTACAATCCCCTATAACCTGCAACCTGAAAATGGGCCCTTGGTACATCACTGTCCTTCTAAAGGACAGCCATGTTGGGTTCCATGTTACCCTGGGAGAGGATAGTCCAGGCCCTGTAACCTTAAACCCTAGATGATCTATAGTCTAAACTGCTAGTGTCCCCCTTACTAGGCCGTATAATTCTCCCCTACATAATCCCCCCTTTCAGGAGTTTGGACTATAGCTCAAATGTCCAAAGCAGCCCTGTGCTTTCAGATCTTCACAGTCCTGCGGGCCCTGCGTCTTGCCCGTCTGGCACGCGCTGTGCGCATGCGGCCGGCTTTCAAGGTGCCTTGCCTGTGAATTCTTAGGGTCTAGGTTGTTGTGGATTTTTGCGATTTAAGTTTTTGTGAGTTTTAGGGGTCAGGGTTTGGGGGCCGGATTGATTTCAACGTCCGGTAAGAACAGAAAGGAGCCGTGTAGTAGTCTGTAGGGTGTCCTTGATATCCCCCCATTCCCTGGCTCAAAGCTGCAAGGGGTTGCGAATATTCATCTTGGTGGTTAAATCTAACCCCAAACCCTAAACTCTAAACCCTAAACCCCAAACTCTGAACCCGAAAGCCTGAACCCTAAACTCTGAACCCTAAAGCCCAAACCTCTTTTTGGTGCCCTAGAGGTCTGGGGGCGCGGTACAAGCCGCGACCACACACCTACCAACGCGTTGACAACCCACAAGATATGTTCAATGGTTGCGGTAGTGCCTGCTTTAAAACTGTCAGGGTCTACACTACAGGTCCCCCCAAATGGATGCCAATGTCATGGTTCCAGATTCCTTGTGGACTTGTGGCATGGGGGCTACCTGAAACAGAACTCACATGATACTGGTATGCTGGAGTTTGCCTGTACATGTTCAAGGGTTAGACAACTTACGTTGTAAGAGCACTCTCTACCTCCTGATGCCGCTCCCTTTTTTGTATATGGCGGTTGTCAGCAACTAGCATGCTTCAGATGCACGACGTCGTTCTCCCTTTGCAAGATGTTTGCATGAGACTGCAGGCGATACATATGAAACAGCCCGAAACAAAGCCGCTGAAAGGAGTTGTGGATCTTGATCCACGGCCTTACTACATCCTTCCGGCCTCTGTTTTGGACCCTCTTGATTGCCATGATCCTCGGCTGGTTTAGCGTCGCCTGTACTTTTTGTGCGAGACTTGCAGATCTGAATGGTGGCATGAAAAACCGTTGTATGTGAAACAACTCGGGTTGTCATATGGGTAGTTCTCAAAATTATGTCCCATTTTGGTACCCCTCAATACTAAGTGCCGAAATATAAACCATGTGGCCAAAAGGGGCCCATAATTTTGAGAACAGCCCGTATGTTCCTCATACAACCCTCAGTGAAAAAAGACAATGTGCATGGAGACTAGAATGGGATCAGGCATGCCTATGCCAAATGCAAGGAGGAAGAAGGACTCACTTCAATTGGCGCCCTTAAACCCTAAACCCCTAAACCCTAAACCTTGCACCCTTTTGAGGGGCACCTGAAGTGGGCCCTGCAATCCATGCAGATGCGGAAGATTTCAAAGGGTAGCTCCCTAAGCCCTTAGCCCTAAACCCTAAAACCTAAACCTAAAGCCCTAAACCCTAAACCGTAAGACCTAAACCCAGAACCCTAAACCCTTTCTGTATAAGAAGCATAGAGTGCAGCTCTAGATGTGAAGCTGCTCAGCTTTCTTGCTGAAATCCAAGTGCCTGTGTGGGGCATGTGTTAGGCCAAAAAGGGTTTGGAGTTGAAGGGTTTAGGGTTTAGGGTTGGTATTTTGGTGTTTAAAGGGGTTCAGGGTTTAGGGTCACATCTTATGCGTATTGTCGGTACTTGGGCACCCTGGGACAAAAACGTCAATCGAAATTGAATCTCGAGGATCGTGGTCTACCTGGGTGGCCTTGCTGCTGCAGAACTGATTGGCAAAGATTCGCGACTGCAAGAAATCCCAAGAGTCCAAGACTACTTTGGCGACCTGCTGAAGTCCATGTACCCTTGGCCCAGCTGAGCTGTAGTCCAAACCTTTGAAGGGGATTATATAAGGGATTATCGGGCAGTAGAATCGGGGTTACGAAGGGGGATACTAGGAGTTTGGACTATACAGTTCGCACAGCTTGGATCAGCTTCAGGGTGTTTGAAGGGGAGTGAATAATAGATCAGAGGGTCCGCATGGGGGTTGTTCTAAAGGTCCTTATAAAGAAGGGACCATGGGGAACATATTCCCTTAAAAGGGGTCCTAACCAAACAGGTAACCTACATAATTATGGCCATGTTGGACAGTATTTTGAACAACTACCAAAACAACTATTCGGGACCTAGGACCCTGAATTCCTTCTGTAGTGTGGATTTTGCAGGGCCAAATTTTAGAGTAATGATATTCATGACATATCTGGACCCTCTGGGTTAGGTACTTGAGCTATATACGGGCAATACATCGGGATCATTGTTTGGGTCGGAAGTTCCCACTTTGGGATTCATTCTGGATACTGCAAAGCAAACCCAAAGGGTCCATGAGTGTAGCTATATGGGGTATACTTGGGCCTTAAAGTAGGTATATGGGAACCCCTTTAACCCCTAAGTATATACCATATACCTACATGGACCCTTTGGGAAAGTAAGTGTATTCGTTTCAGGGTCTGCTGTAGGGGTGCGCAAGGGATTGTAGCTCCGAGTGAGCTTGGGACCAGGACCCTCCTTGTACCCTTTGAACAAGGGTATGTGGTCTACATACACATATATAGGGCAGAGAGAGATATACATATATATATATATAGGGCAGAGAGAGAGAGATAGATATATATATATAGGGCAGAGATATATATATATACATATATATATATATGGCAGAGGGTCTAGGGATGTAGGGGGGAAACAGGGTCTGGTTTCGTGGAACTATGTCGGTCCACCCTTCGACCACAGCCAAAAAGTGTGAATCATTTAGGTCCTCACAGTACGCATGTCTTGGAGCGACGCTCAGGTACACCATGATTCAGCTCCTCACGCTGGATACATGGACAGATGACATCGCCCGGTGGGTCATCGATTCCAGGTTCAACGCGAGTCAGGGCTTGCCCGAGGAAGGCGTCTTCTACTACTGCCTCTTCTTTGCGGCTGGTCCTTCCACTTAGCATCGCTTAGGGTTTCCAACCCAACGAACACACGGTAGCATCGGATAGTCTCTTCTGGTTATTTTTGTAGATATCACTAGTGTTATACCTTTCTAGTTGGGTTGGGGTTGCAAAGCCAGTTCCGCTTCGGATCCTATACGGGATTGTGCCGAATCAGGGAAGGGCTTTTCTCTGGGCAGATCATGGGCGCAGCAATAGCCAAGCGCAAGTAATAAGGGCCTTCTTACGGCGACCCGAACTGATTAGTTTGTGCTTCTCGGGAAAGCTGCCAGGTGGGTTTCATCGGCATCGGTGTTTTTGTCTTCTGGAATCTGATTACGGCCATTATTGTCGAAACTGCCTTCGCTATTTCTGACTCCGATGCCAATTCACAGGCTCGTGAGAAGCTTGGCTGCCATCGTCCGCGCTGGTAATCAGTTTCAGGGCTGGGCGTATATTTCTCGAACTCTGGTTCAAGCTTAACCACCCTACAATCCTTGCTTTCTGCTGAAGAGTGTGGTTCATGACGGCACCATGCGGTACAGGGCTTTAAAACCGCCCATTAGAAAAGGGGACAACTAGTTCCAAGCACTCGCATCCTGAAGCGAACTCAGGATGGAGATGGAGAAGAAGGCTGAATTGGCACCTTGGCCTTCACCCATGGAATTTCATCCCAAAAGACATGCCAGCGTGGACTCCTTCATCTTTACCCATATATAACACAACTTAGCTAGAACCTACCCAAAGCCTTCTCCTATTCAATTCATTTGTGTGTAACCCATAAAGTACATGACTGTAGTAGAACCTACCCAAAAACTTTATTCTAATCAGTAATTAGTTAGGCTCTTACAGGAATGAAAGGGGTCTTATGGGTCTTGGCAATCCTGCCTCACATCTGGCGGGCATACTCCTGTCGCCGACTTACTGGTGTTTGGAGGGAAATGGGGGAGCAACTGTAGGCACCTTGTGTAGAAAAATGTATTCAGATTCCTTCCAACAGTCCGGCTATGTAGTAGATTGTAGATGTTAATATATCATAAGGAAGCACCCACTCCCCTTTGCAACACGGTAAGCCGTCGGTGGTAAGGTTGCTGGGAGGCTGGGTAACTCTCCGGAGAAGGATCAAATTTCAGGGGCTAAAGAACAAGGACCCCAGCACTGACAACATCCCATACAGAGTTTAGGGTTTAACTTCACGATACCGGGCTTAGAATTCGAAACAAGCTCATACTGCTCAAACTCGGGATAGGGAAGTGTTGTCTTTGCAACTGTCAATCACAGTTTACAGGCACCCGAGCAGGCTGCCGCTTCTGGAAGCGGGCACATGGGTTCTTGTATGAGCTATAGTAAACTCCTTAAAAGGGGGTTATATAGGGGATTATATAGGGGACTACTATAGGGGTTATGAAGGGGGATACTAGGAGTTTAGACTATAGCTCGTATGGCCTTGAGAAGCTTCAGTAACATTTACACCATCCATGCTGACTCCTAAGTCGGCATGGCGGGCTCTTTCTTGCATCTGTCGACAGCCGTGTAGGCCGTTGGCCTCAAAGAAAAGGTTCCTCGAGGACAAGCATGCAGCGAAGCCTTGTTTTAGATGTCAGTCTAGAAAACACTGAAGTGCGCACCGAAAAGTCCGGGAGTTCTTGGACTTTCCCAAGGCGATCCCCTAGGCAGTTTTGTCTATGGCCTGCGAAGAACAAGGGCCGGGGGGCGTAAAGTGTAGGGACTGAAAGCTTGGAACACTGCCCCCCAATTTCTTGGCAAAGTGTAGTGTTCTCACCTGACATCATCTCCAATGGATGGCGATTTATCCCGTTCATCATCCCCAAACAGGGGTCTTTTGTCAGGCAAGTGAATGTGTCTGCTTTAACCCCGAAATCCTGCACGATAAGAATGGAATCCCCACCCCACCGGCACAAGACTTGAAGGAAGTACACACTTACATTACCATGAAACCCAAATCGTGTCTGTGACTACATGGGCATCTCTCACAATATTTCCCGCATAAGCCTCACGTGGAATGTACATCCATTAATCTTCCATCCTGAAGCTCTGCACACCTAACTGCCAATGCCTAGACCCAAACCCCCAAATCCAAAATCCTCAACCTTAACTCTTGAATCCTACATGAACTCTTAAATCCCCCATACTTGCTTATATAGAGAAAGAGACACAGAGAGAGAGAGAGAGGTTGAGGGCGTATGTCTGGGGTCTTCTGTCCTCCCTAAGGCCAATCTGGCAGAGATTTTCCTGGAGATCGAGCCCTGGTCCTTTTTCTTGGGGGGTTTAGGGTTTAGGGGGCTGTGGGGGGGGGGGAGAGGCAGGGGCATGGTTCGTGCTACTCCGAGGGTCCAAGCCATGCCTTTGGATGGCACATACTTTGGGCCCGGATGGTTCCTATACATATATATATATATGTATATATATATATGCACATATATACATATGCATATATGTATATGTATGTATATCTAGTTCTATATATATATATACACATATATATCTGTGTGTGTATGGTTCGGGTTCACATGCATGTAGTTTGGCTATTTCTCGTCTACGACAACGGACCGCTTCTACTTAGAAAATAGTGCGAGATAGCAGTAGTACGCCTTTGCTACACATCCTGCTGCTACTACTTACTACTTCTACTGGTGCTCGGCCATAAATACATAACACTTCTTTTTCTTGCTCTCACGACTACTGCTACTGCTACTGCTACGAGTACTGCTACTTCGACTACTGCTGCCGCCTATTACTTCCTCTTCTTCTTCTTCTTCGGTACACTTACACTTGCACTTGCTCTTGTTCTTCTTCTCCTTGTCTTACTGCAGCTCTTTGCCTAGTGCACCAAGAATGTTAGATAAACTCTACACCCTAAAACCCTTAACCCTAACACCCTAAACCTAAAGCCTAAGAAAGCCCAGGACTTAGACGGCTCTGGGGAGCTTACCTCTGATGAGTTCTTCTCTGCCCTACGGAACAAGAAGGCAATGTGGTAGGGTTTAGGGTATAGGGTTTAGGGTTCAGGGTTTTGGGTCTAGGGTTTGGGGTTTACGATCTAGGGTTTAGGGTTTTGAGGGTTCACGGTTGGAAGCTTAAAGCTGAGAGTGTGGTCCACCCGTAATCCTTTTTAAAATTCTAGATTTAGTATAAGTCGCCCCAAACCCTATTGAAGTCAATTGCGCCCTTATATGCATTGTTTTTTGGCGCTTAGCCCAGAAGCCCGAACCCGAGAATAAGATCCTCCCTGCAACGAGTGGCTTAAAATCCTTGCACATGGCATACTCTACCCTATGGCAGGGAACTTGGGTTAAGCTACCATGATGAGTATACATATACATATATATATATGTAGTAAGTGACATGCTTTCCCCAGTAGAGTAACTTAAGCAACCCAGATCGTGGGCTGGAGGGCTTGCAGTTTGAGGTTTCTGAGAGCTCCGGGGTTTAGGGTTCAGGGTTTATAGTCCCCCTTAAGTAGATAGGATATGGCTTTGGGTAAATTATAACAAGATCCCTATATACCCCATATTCTATCTACCTAAAGGGACTATAGGGTTCAGAGTTAAGGTTTCTGGATTTCCGCCCGCGGTTTGAAGCTTCTTCAGTAATTGAGGGGAATCTGTCCTGCAAATGATGGTCGTTTCGGGTCTGTATGGTGTGTTATTTGGTCACGTCGTATTAAGCATCTTCAGGAAAAACCTGGTCCAATGATTTAGGTACATGCTTGCGAATGTTGAAAGCATTTTGCTACAGCAGTGGGGCATTCTCCAACAAGAGCCCTCACACGAAAATGCAAGTGCTTCTTGCGTCTCTTGGGGAATCTCCTGAAAGGAAGCAAACTATGTAATTCTGGGGCAGCTACTACCCATTGTCCAGACGGGGATTTTTTGAAATCAAGGGTCCTTCTTGGGGGTTCTCGTACGTGGACAACATGTCTGGAAACTCCCGGATGGGTAGTAGCTTCAAACGGGATACTATGTAGTGCCTGACAGAGCGTCAAATCTCATCTTCCTGCTGGCCAGGGAGGTATAGTTCTCTTCAACCACAGAAAACCCTAACCCAAGAAACTTCTACATCCTGTATGCCCTATACCCTACCTGCGCTGCAGCCTTAGTTGGTCAAGCCACCAAAACAAGACTACTCATTTGCTTGTGGCACCCGCAGGCACTGAAGCCCTTGTTTGGAGAAGACCCGTTCCAAATCAAGGGATGCTAGCCATCCTCTGGGGGATGCTACTCCTGGGTGTAGGATTTATGGTTCAGGGTTCAGGCTTCATCTTACTCAGATGAGCTATAGTAGAAACTCCTTAAAGGCGGGCTAAATAGGGGATTATATAGAGGACTTCTATAGGGATTATTGAGGCGGATACCAGGAGTTTAGACCCTAAACCTAAACTCTAAACGCTATATTCAGCCCTAAACTCTAAACCCTATACTAGAAGGTAATACGGGGGATACTAAGAGTTGAGACTAAATCTCACCCTAAACCCTAAACCTCTAAACCCTTAAACCCTAAAACCCTAAAGCCCTAAACCCTAGATCCTAGATAGGTCTTGGACCTCACAGGTAAAGCAGATGCTGGATGTCCTCGACGTGCAAGCTGGCGAGTTGGAGGAGTTCAGGGTTTTGGGGTCCTAGGGTGCTCAGGTTAAGGGTTGTAGGTCTAAGGACCCTAGGGGTTTGGGGGTTTAGGGTTTTAGGATTTGAGATTGTTGGGTCGGCATGCGTCACCTGTACTTCAAGGAAAGATTCGCCGCTTTGGTGTTTATCAAAGCCCCCATCGGCTAGGTTGACACTGAGCTTCCCTGCCAATTCGTTTGAAAGCCCAGTTGGGAGCGCCATGTAATGTACCCCAAAAGTTGTTTAAAGCGGATCCGCTGATGCTTGTAATTTTCTAGTCTTTGTCTCATCCTGCAAATCCAGCATTACATCCCATGGCCACAAATCCTTCTCAGAAAGGACTAGCAGCTGAGCAAGAACGTGGTTTGAAACGGGCGGATCGAAAAGCCCTACTATAGCCGCGTCTTCGCGGGCAACTCTTGCCATAACTCAGTCCTTCATTCCCTCCTAGCAAGAGAGGCAATCAGAACCCATTCTGCAGGGATCGCACGTGAATGTCTAGTTGTACAAGATTGTTGTTCTCGAAGGGTCCATGTAGGTATATAGTATATACTTAAAGGTTCTCAGTATATACTATATACCTACATTGACCCTTTGGGGCTGTTGGTGCTGCACGGCACATGAATGCAGCTGATCAATGTCGGTGCCCGGTTTGTCTCAGGGCTGAATTAGTTTTGGGAAGCTAATAGAGTCAGGGGTTCCCTCATATGAGCCATAGTCGAAACTCCTTAAAGGGGGTTGATAGGGGATTGTATAGTAGACTAGTAGAGGGCTTATCAGGGGATATAATAAGAGTTTAGAGTATAGCTGATATGATTCCCGGTACATTCCTCAGTTAAAGGGTTATCGGGCTCTCTGGTATTTGTGGGTCTGGCGACACGGGGCTTGAAGGGCCCACATACCGCGCAGTTGCGCGTTGCGTTAAGCACGTAATGTGGCACCCTAATTAATGGAGGGGTCCGGAATAATGAAAAGTTTCGGGGAAGTCATTCAGAATCAGCTATTGTTTGA